ATTAAACTAGAGAAAACATGAAATAGTATTAAAAAGAATTTCAAAAAGTTTGATCATGTAGGATTCATTACGTCTAGATACTCAAAGAAAAATTAAAACCTAAACATGTAGAAACAACAATTACAAAAGAGAGAAATTAAAGATCTTGATTGCATCCTCCCAGCCGTCACTAACTTTTTCTTTCTTAAAAATAGTGTCTCCTAAGTTTTTGTTTCAAGTTTTCTTTTATATGAGTAGTCCAAGGGCTCATATTCTCTCAGAAGTTTGATTCTGACGTACATTAAAAGTACACTATCATGTACACAGACATGTACCTTGACCGTGTACATCTCTGGTTTTGATTATGTACTTCAATTGAAGTGACTAATAAGATACACACTCATATACACGAGCGTGTACTTACCTGTGTATATCTCTGCCTCTGATTATGTGCTTGATTGATACAACCAGTGAGATACACGCTTATATACACGGGCGTGTACTTGCCCATGTATATCTCTAGTTCTTTTCTTGATTCAATTCCCAATATCTTTTAAGCTCTCACTTCTTGATCTTTTTTCCTGAAATCTGAATAAAATATACTAAAAAATTGCAATTATTATTTATGAATTATATTTTAGGATCAAGTATAGAAGGCATTTATCAAGCATGATGAGCAATGCAAGGCTTCCTCAATTCTTGTGGATTGAAGCATTTAAGACGATTGTGTATGAATTAAATAGAGTTCCAACTAACATGTCTCAAAAACACCTTTTGAACTATTCAAAGGTTGGAAACTTAGTTTATAACATATACACATTTTGAAGATGCTCGTCTGAAGTGAGAATTTATAACCTACAAGAGAAGAAACTTGATCGTAGGACTATTACTGGGTATTTCATTGGATATGCTAAAAAGTCCAAATGGTATAAGTTCTATTGTCCATCTCATAGCCCTAGAATTGTGTAATCAAGAAAAGCAAAGTTTCTTAAAAATAATTTAATTAGTGGGAGTGACCTAATTCAAGACACTGCTTTTGAAACAAATCATTATAAAACTAAACCCTCTGAGTCAAATGATAGATTGATAGTCATTCATACTCCTCCAATTCAAGAGCGTATTAGACAACTAGTTATCCAAGTTTCACAAACTGTTGAATATGATTGGGTAAATCAAGTTATTGACAAGGAGCCACAAGTAAATGTTGATCAACCTGTTGAAGAAGTGGTTGAATAACAAGTTCCTCATCAAGATAATGAGACAATATTAAGAAGATCTACTAGAGTCAAAAAGTCAGTAATATCTAGTAACTATATGGTGTATTTACAAGAATATGACTATAACATAGGAGCCAAAAATGATCTTGAAACGTTTTCACAAGTCATAAATTCTAAGGAATCAAATTTATGGTACAATGCCATGAAAGATGAGATGGATTCTATGGCATCTAACAAAGTCTGGAATCCTGTTGAGTTGCTTGATGATGTAAAAGTCATTGGATGTAGGTGGGTCTTTAAAACCAAGAAAGACGCACAAGGCAACATTGAGAGACATAAGGCAAGACTTGTCACCAAAGGGTTCACTCAAAGAGAAGGAATCGATTATAAGGAGACATTTTCTCCTGTGTCTAAAAATGATTCTCTTCAAGTGATTATGACATTGGTAGCTCATTTTGACCTTGAGTTACATCAAATGGATGTGAAAACAACGTTCCTCAATAGTGATCTAAAAGAAGAGGTTTACATGAAACAACTTGGAGGATTCTTCTCTAGTAACGGTGAACATTTAGTTTGTAAGCTTAATAAATCTATATACAGATTAAAACAAGCATTCTATCAATGGTATCTAAAATTTCATGAAGTCATATCTTCATTTGGTTTTGAAGTAAATATCATAGATCAATGTATATATCTGAAGGTTAGTGGGATTAAGATTTGTTTCCTTGTTTTATACGTGAATGATATTTTGCTTGTGGCTAATAATAAGTGTATGCTATATGAAGTGAAACAATTTCTCTCAAAAAACTTTGATATGAAAGATATGAGTGAGGCATCTTATGTCATAAGCATTAAGATCCATAGAGAAAGATCTCAAGGCATTTCGGATTTGTCTCAAGAGATCTATATTAACAAGGTTGTAGAGAGTTTTAATATGAAAGATTGTTCACCAAGTGTAGCTCCCATTGTAAGGGGTGATAGGCTTGAATTGAGTCAATGTCTAAAAAATGAATTTGAGTGAGAACACAAAAAATATTCCATATGCTTTAGCTGTTGAAAGTCTTATGTATGCTTAGGTTTGCCCTAGACCTGATATTGCATTTGTGGTTGGAGTTTTAGGAAGATATTAGAGTAATCCAGGTGTTGACCATTGGAAAGTTACAAAGAAAGTAATGAGATATCTTCAAGAAACAAATGATTACATGTTTATATACAGACAGGCCAATGATTTGAAAGTGATAAGTTACTCTGACTCAAACTTTACTGGCTGCATTGATATCATAAAATCTACATTTAGTTACATTTTTATATTAGCTTGTGGGGCTGTATCTTGGAGTAGTGTGAAGCAGACCTTAACTGTTACTTCCACTATGGAGGCTTAATTTGTTTCTTGTTTTGAGGCTATCTCACATGGTGCATGGTTGAAGAGTTTTATATCTGGGCTTAGAGTTGTGAACTCTGTATCTAGGCCATTAAAGGTGTACTGCGACAACTCGGGTACAGTATTTATGGCTAATAATAACAAGAACGGAAGTCAAAGTAAACACATTGACATCAAATATTTATCCATAAGAGAACGTGTTAAGGGAAAAAAAAAAGTGGTCATTGAGCACGTTAACACTTAGTTGATGATTGCCGATCATTTGACTAAAAGCATGCCACCAAAGAATTTTAAGGATCATGTAGCATGAATGAGACTTGGTTCCACGATGTGACAATCATTATGGATACTTTTATTTTTTTTATAAGACTTTTATTCATATTGATATTTTCTCTTTCGTTTTGTGTACACTTTTGTTTGTTTGAGAAATATCGTTTAGTTTTGACCTTAAATGAAGATGTGGTTTATTCATTAAGTTGAGAGCTAGTATTGAGAGACTTGACATATTGTGATACATGGAAGATAATACTCACCATTAGATGAACTGTCACTATGATTCATATATTTAGTTTCTTGTTATGGTTGATAATGGGATTAATGGATCAAGTGGGAGAATATTAGCAATCAATTTCTGTTTCTAATTCCGATTTTCAAGGAACATTACGTAATCCACATAACTCCATTATCTACATCCATTTTGTTCCATGCAGAGGTTACTTTCACTAGTTTTTCGGAATGAACTGTATGATGGGTAGAGCCCTATAAATATTTTACACTTGTATGGTTTTAGGTCACCAAATCTGCTCCCCTCCTTAGAACAAAACGCACCATCATGCTTGAGTGAGTGATAATTTGAAAAATTAGAATTGCGACTGCAAATTAACTTTGCAATGGCCAGAGGTTAATATTTCTCAATCCATTTTATTTTCGCATAGCTTTATTACAATTTCCATTTAACTTTTCATTATTTACGATGTGTTTATATTATTTTTTTCTTAATTTTGTAATATATTTTTTTTTCTTTTATAGTTTTTATTAGTCTTAATTCTCTCTACTAAAAATAACAAGTTAGGCATCTCAAAATTTGAATTTATGTTGTCAATCTTATGTGTGTATATTAGTTTTTTTATTAATTTTATAATACACTTGTGTTTTTGTTTTATATTTAAATTAAATTTTTAACATATAAGAAAATAAAATAATTTAAAACTAAATTTTTCATATATTTTTTTGTTATGTGAATTTTTTAAATAAAAATAATAAAATCTTAAATATATGATCAAAATTAAATAACTTGTAATATTTTATGTAAAAAATAAAATAAACATTTAAAATTGAATTACTATTTTAATTATCAATTTAAATATCATATATAGTTATAAATTCAAATTTATAGTATTATTTAATATTAATAATGTAGTTAATTTTACCTACATGTGCACACGCGTGCATATCATCTATATATATAAAATAAAATAACATACAAATTAATAAATAAAAATAAAAATACTGTTTTATTTATTAATTTATATATATTATATATGATTATAGATTGAATGACTTAAACAAATTTTTAAAATAGAAAATGTATACATATTTATAATTAAGTTAAATAAAAATATAATATTTAAAAAAAAATTATAGAATAAAGATTGTTTTTAAGCGTAAAATTTTGTACTTCACGGTGGAGTTTTTCTTTACTCTGTTAGAAATAGTGTAAATTTCATTTTAAAAAACTAAACATATAGATACTTTTATTTACTTAAAATCAAAATTAAGAAATATCTGTAAAATAAACATATTTATAAAATACATAACCAAGAAACAGTTGATATTAAGTTATAGCTTAGGTTGAAAAGAAATTAGATCATTTTAAGCTTTACAAATTTTAATTATAATTTTTTAATCACAAAGTTTAATCTAATTTATTCATCCAACATACAACTTTTAAAAAAAGAAAAAAACTCTCATATAGCTCCTGTGTAAGTTCAAACTAATAACTTGAGGACTTTTGTTTTAGAAGTTTATTTTGGATTAAGATTTATAAAGTGTCTAATAAACCTATCAACTTAAGTAAGTTAATAAGCCTATCAGCATAAATAGAATAAACATATCAGCATAAAAAATCTATATAAATAAGTTAACAAACTTAACAAACTATTAGATCAGAAATTTAAATTATTTAATTAAACACTTTTTTCAAAATATTTAATTTTAACGTTTTATTAAACACATTAAGCTGGGTTAAGTCGAGAGAGAAAATAAAAGCCCATATCTGATGCCTCTATTTGTGGAAATTACCGAACTACCCCTTCCACATCAGATTACGTTTTGGCGGGAAAAGCCTGTAGGGCATAACGAGTGGCGCCAAAAGTTGCTAACTTTTTCATTTTTTTTAACAAAAATAATTTCAATATCAATATAAAATAAAGAAAAATAATAATAAAAAAATAACTACACCCAGGAAGAGGGAACAACACAGCACAACTTTGCGTTTCAAGGTCTGAGAACAGAAGAGAGAACACTTTGCTTTCTCTTTCTTCCTTCAATCGCTAGGGTTTCTCGATTCACAGCTATATCGGGATTCGTCGTTGGTTTTGCTACAATTTGTGGACTTTCACGCCCAAAATCTGGTTCCTCTGTGCGTTGATCTGAGTCAATTAGGGTTTTTGCATGAGTCCTCCTGCTGAATTGAAGATGGAAGATGGCAAGCCTTCAGTTACCTCGCCTGATAATGGCGACCAAGTCGAGTCTCGCTTCCTTGAGTTTTGCAAGGTTTTCGCATTTCCCCTTTGTTTTGTGTTCTGGGTTACCTTTTTTTAGTGCTGTGATGTTGTTTTCTATGCTCTTTGGTGTTTTATGGTATAATCGAGTGTGAAGTTTCAGTGATAGTGGTTTGCACGCATAAAGTTAAGATCTTTAAATTTTGTAGTTAGTGGGCGTAAAAATTCTTTATATTATGTTTGTAAAGTAGCTCTTCAAGTTAAGTTTCCATTTTTTGACTGAAGGATAGGAAGATACAATGGAAAACATTTCGTATGTGCAGAAAGATGTATAATACTTTTTATTTGTCAACTGGAACATCTTACACATCCTGGTGTGAAAAATGATTCAACGTTCAGAATTCTTTTTTTTTAAGTCATGGCGGCCTGGCAATAATTATTTGTTGTTGGAGGTAATAGACATGGACACTCATGATGAGCCAGCATAGAGAAAACCCAGAAAGTAATGAATGGACCAAACCCACTGAGTTTATTAAAGGAAAGGACAATGCTAATAAAGACAAATATTTAACAGTTTTTTCTTTCCCACTAAATGATCTGTCAATTAATTATAATATGATACAGTGTGTTTAACTGCTGTTACTGTATTTGCCTAGTTGAGTGGAATTATAGGATTTCACTTAGGAAGAAACTTATTGTGTAACTGTTCTTGTTACATTGGTCACAGATTCATGATTAATTAGCATCAGAAAATTTGTGCGCACTGGCAAGTGTGCACGAGTGTGAAGGAGTCAATAGTGAGTGGTGACAAATAGCACCGCGATAGCTCTGTAGTGGAGCATTGCAGCTGCTGGCTGCTACAGGAAATTCATAGCATCACATGAATAGTCAGAATAGAAGCTGAATTATGGCTGAGGAGAAACTGAATTGTGGAGAATTTGGTGGCTATTCTCTTTTCACATCTCAGCCCCTCCCATTTCTGGTTAATCCCTGGTAGAATGCATATTTTAGCTGAAACACACTACTATTTTGCCCAACCCACACCCTTTGTTCTGTCAAGTGCAATCATTTTCTAGCCTGGTCCACCCCTTTGCAGCTTTCTCTGTTCAGCGTGACAAGTTTTCTCTCTATCCTCTATGCTAACCATCTTTTAGTGTTTCTATTTTTTTATTGATAAGTGAGACTCAGAATATAAGAAATGTCCATATATAGTTTTTATTTGCATATAGGTAGATTTACTAAAGTTTCAATTGAGATTTTTTACCCATTATTTCGACATTGATGTGCTTTTCTGTGACAGAATGGGCTGGCATTGGAAGAGAGAAGCTGTAAAGAGGCAATGAATATGTTTGGAGAAACCAAACATATTCTACTGACAAATTTTTCGTCGATGGGGAATGGAACGGTACAGATGAATATTATTCATTGGTATAACATAATTTGTAGTGAAAAGTTTTATTTGTATTAATAAGGTTGCATAATTCTTTTCCAGTCTGAAGAAGCAGAGCGGTATTGGTTTGCTTTTATTTTATACTCTGTCAAGAAATTGATTCAGAACAATGTGGAGAGTGGGAAGGAAGAGACTGAGAACACTGGGCTTACCTTGTGTCGTATATTGAGAGCAGCTAAGCTAAAGTATTTTACTGACTTTTCTGCTGGTATATAAGTTTGTAGTCTGTTCTATTATTTACTGTTGTACTTATCTTCTATTCAACAGCATTGCAGATTTTTTTAAAGAACTTCCACAGTTTGTTGTTAAGGCTGGTCCAATTTTAAGCAATATATATGGTTCAGATTGGGAAAACAGGCTTGAGGTATTGACCTAGCAGTGAATCATGAGTACATTTTGCAAAGTTTATGTTTGTGTGGTCTCTTGTTTTTAATCCTTGGAAATAGGTTTATATTAAGCCACTTTTTATGTTGCTATATCTATACCAGGCAAAGGAGATGCATGCCAATGCTATTCACTTGAAGATTCTTAGCAAGTGAGTAGCCCTCTGCATACATTTATTTGATTAATGTCTGAAGCTGCTGATTATTATTTGTTAATTTATATTTTATGATATTATTGAAATTTCTCTTTCACTACATATTATTTGAATTTGTGTAATAATTAAGCAAAACCTAACATGTGCTGCTTCTAGGAAGCATCATTTTCCATGGATGGTTATATGGTCACTCTCCTTGCATCTAAAATCTAGATAGTTGTAACTTAAATCTCAAATTCCTTTCATAAGGTAAGTATTGAGGATTGTTGGTAGTAAAGTTCACATTGACTTACGTGTGGTGTTAATTTTCTGTTGTTGTATTTTATTAGTATCATGATAATATTTTAAATGAGATGTTTTTTATCACAAAAAAAAACAAAAAAACTAAAGGAGATGTTTGAAGGATGAAAAGGTGTTTATAATAGAGGTAATCTCCTTAAGGTGGTACGCTTTACATACATTACAAAGTGGTAATTATAATACTTAACAAAATATGAAATGCAGGACAACTAAGAATTTGTAGCTAACCTATTGAAGATCAATATTTATCTGGAATGGCAACTATGTTATGGTCCAATGTTTCATACTACTTTTTAATTTTTAACCATCTGATAAAGTAGATAAATATTTGTATCATTTGGTCATCTCTCAAACTTTGCAATGCTATATTCTGAGCATTCCTATTTTAGCCGTATAAGGTTGTTTGCTGTGATTACCTGTGCAGTGCAGCATGCCTACATGAGATGACATGACATCTTATATGTTTGATGGTGCCAGGTACTATAAACGTGTATTTGGAGAATTCTTCGTGGCAACTGATGCAAATGTTGAAAAGAACTCATCTGTTACTGTTCAGGCATCTGAATACCATCGATTTGGATGGCTACTTTTCTTGGCACTTCGTGTACATGCTTTCAGCCGTTTCAAAGACTTGGTGACTTGCACCAATGGTTTGATTTCAATCTTGGTAAGTTGATTCTCAAAGCAGATATTTCTTTTTTCTATTTTAAACATAGTGAAGAGAATTATTGAAACTTTGAAAACTTTAATTTTTTGTGAAATTTTTGTTTGGGTATTTTCAGGCTATGCTTAAGTTCAACCAGTCCGTTCATTTTAAGTTGTCATATTTCACTTTTTTTCGGGGGAGTGAGGGGAACAAACGAATAGTTTCTTATTTGCTGGTTGTATCTGTTACAGGCCATCTTAATTATTCATGTTCCTGCTCGTTTTCGGAATTTCAACATTCATGACTCCTCACGCTTTGGTAATCCTCTGTTCTTTCTGTCTTTCCTGCATTTTCTTTCTTGTTTCTCATTCATGGGCAGCTGCACTTTGACATGCATGGTGCAATATTGCATACATGCTTTTTCTTGTGTACAAACACCCATCTACTGTAGGCTATTTTTGTAATCAGCTTAAAAGCATATTTGTTATAATTCCTTCAAATTTGCTTTCAGTTAAGAAAAGTAACAAAGGTGTGGACCTCCTTGCATCACTTTGCAACATATATAACACTTCTGAAGATGAGTTGAGGAAAACCATGGAGAAAGCCAATAATGTAATAGCAGATATATTGAAGAAGAAGCCCTGTTTAGCATGTGATTGCGAGAATGAAAACCTAGAGAATATCGATAAAGGTTCATTTTCCTTTGTCATTATTATTTATGGATCAGGAATAGATGGTGTCTTGAACTGATATCTATTACCCCTTTTATTTGTAGATGGTTTGACCTGTTTTAAAGATCTGATGGAGGAATCATCTCTACCTTCAAGTTTAAATATCTTAGAAAAAGATTATGATTACATGATTCGCAACAAGAGTGAATTGGATGAGAGATTATTTATTAATGAGGATGACAGCCTATTAGCTTCAGGAAGCTTGTCTGGAAGTTCTATTTCAGCAGGTGGTGTAAAGGTATGATTAATGGAGAGTTTGTTCTAAAATTTCATTCTATCTTGTGTAAGAGAGCACCTAAAAGTATCTTTTATTGTGCTCTGTAGAGGAAAATTGATTCAATGGCATCACCTGCTAAGACTATTACAAGTCCACTCTCACCTCATCGCTCCCCTGCATCCCATGCTAATGGGATTCCAGGTAGTGCAAACACAAAGATGACAGCCACCCCTGTAAGCACGGCAATGACTACTGCAAAGTGGCTTCGCACTGTCATTTCTCCACTTGCATTGAAGCCCTCTCCAGAGCTGGAACGGTTTTTGATATCATGTGACAGGGATGTTACAAGTGATGTGGTGCGCAGAGCACAGATTATATTGCTGGCTATATTTCCTAGTAGTCCCCTTGGAGAACGATGTGTAACCGGAAGCCTGCAAAGTGCAAACCTCATGGACAATATATGGGCGGAACAACGAAGATTGGAAGCATCAAAGTTATACTACAGGGTATTGGAAGCAATGTGCAGAGCAGAAGCCCAAGTACTTCATGCAACTAATTTAACCTCTCTACTAACTAATGAGAGGTTCCATCGATGTATGCTTGCATGTTCTGCAGAATTAGTCCTGGCAACTCACAAGACCGTAACAATGTTGTTCCCTGCTGTATTGGAGAGGACTGGAATTACAGCCTTTGATCTTAGCAAGGTGATCGAAAGCTTCATTAGGCATGAAGAATCTCTCCCAAGAGAATTGAGGCGACATCTGAATTCGCTGGAAGAGCGGCTTTTGGAAAGCATGGTATGGGAAAAGGGTTCTTCGATGTATAATTCTTTAGCAGTTGCTAGACCTGCCCTTTCTGCAGAGATAAATCGTCTTGGACTGCTAGCTGAACCAATGCCATCATTGGATGAAATCGCAATGCATATTAACTTCTCTTGTGGAGGGCTTCCACCTGTACCATCCGTGCCTAAGCTTGAGACTTCACCAAGTAATGGTTCTCTTTTTTGGTTTGAAGACTCTTGAGTTGTACTTTTGTAGTTTTCATATAATTCTTTGTTCTTCATTCCATAGAGTAGTTATCAGTCATGGTTATCAATATGAAGCTAAAATTGTTCCTCCCTGGTCCTTCCTTCATACCTCTTCCTTGAAGAGCTCATGTTGAGAATGCATATTTTTCAACTTCAGTAACAACTATCAATTATTCAAATTTCAGCTCAGAATGGGGATACCAGATCACCAAAGCGGCTTCGTACAGAATTTCGAAATGTGTTAATGGAACAAAATTCTTTTACTTCACCGGTGAAAGATCGGTTGCTTCCCTTCAGCAACCTCAAGTCAAAGCTACCCCCACCTCCTCTGCAGTCAGCATTTGCCAGGTATAACTTGGATGGTCTGGCAGTACCTATCTATGTAAATTTTCATTATTTCAATGTTTAACCACTTTACTGTTGTCTTCCTTTGGCTTTTTGTTGGATGTTTATTCAATGCAGTCCAACAAAACCAAATCCAGGAGGTGGAGGGGAAACATGTGCAGAAACTGGGATCAACATCTTTTTTGGCAAGGTATTGGGCTGCAATAATACTGTTATGCCATGTTGACTAGGGTTCATTTGACAATTATCTTTACTCCTATTTTGGTGGATTCCAAGGAAACTACTTTTGGCGTGCCACTGTATATGTGCTGTTGTACACCTTATTTGTTCAATTTGGCAAGACATCAATCTGTTATTTTGAAGCTCCATGTTTGTGACCTTTGTGTGTTTTTAGGAACTACTGGATGTTTGTCTTCAATATTTAGAATTTACTTTGCCTTTTGGAAATTGATTGTTACATCAATCTGTTATTTAAGATTTAATGATTTTTACTTCACTAAATCACTTCTAAGCATTGTTGTTTGTGTACCATTCGTTTCTTTACTAGATCGTTAAGTTGGGAGCAGTCAGAATAAGTGGCATGGTTGAAAGACTACAATTATCTCAGCAGATAAGGGAGAATGTGTACTGTCTTTTCCAGCGGATCCTAAATCAATGGACATCTCTCTTTTTCAACCGCCATATTGACCAAATCATCTTGTGTTGTTTCTATGGAGTTGCAAAGGTTTCTCTCTGGATTTGCATAGTTCAGTGTAATGTGTTTTCTGTTATTACCTTTTTCTCATTTTATTCTGTTTTGCAGATTTCACAACTTAACCTAACTTTTAGGGAGATCATATACAACTACAGAAAGCAACCACAATGCAAACCCCAGGTTTTCCGTAGTGTATTTGTTGATTGGTCATTGTTACGCCGAAATGGGGTATGTTAAAACACAATAGTTATTATAAACCTTTTTCTGTGAATCATGACCTCATAACTGATCTGAATGAAAACAGAGAACAGGACAGGAGCATGTTGACATCATTACATTTTACAACGAAATATTCATTCCCTCTGTAAAGCCGCTGCTGGTTGAACTTGGCCCTGGTGGAGCAACTACAAAAGGCGACCGAATACCTGAAGTTAATAAAAATGATGGTAGTTGCTTTATTAGCATGTTACGTCAATTGTTACCTGACTTCCATTACTATGCCAGTCTTGTGATCCATTGACTTCTGTGCTCTTCTCTTTCCAGGTCAATGTCCAGGATCTCCTAAAATATCACCTTTCCCAACCCTTCCTGATATGTCTCCAAAAAAAGTGTCCGCCACTCACAATGTATATGTCTCTCCATTACGATCCTCTAAGGTACTAATTTATTTGTTTGGCTTTCTTCGTTGGATTGTTAGATTTCCCATTTACCATTACTAGTCAGTGTTGTGTAACAATCAACTGACGTTATGCTGGAAAAGGAAGAGGCATGTGAGCACTGTGGTGTTCAGTTTGTTTGGTTTTAAAAGATGACTATTTTGTAATTATCAAACTAATATGATCTCTAATTAGATAATTTGTATCTAGAGAACCGTTAAGAGAACAAAATCCTTGGTTTCTTTTATGGAGCATAACTGTATTCATTGGTTTTGGTTATGTGCTCAGATGGATGCTCTAATATCACATAGCTCAAAAAGCTACTATGCATGTGTTGGGGAGAGCACTCATGCATATCAGAGCCCTTCAAAAGACCTAACCGCCATCAATAACCGATTGAATGGGTATGCTTCTCCATGCCTTGACTTTTGGAATTCAATCATATTATTAAATAGATAATGACCTTATGTTTGATTCGTGTTTAGCAACCGGAAGGTCAGAGGTCCCCTCAATTTTGATGATGTTGATGTGGGCTTGGTTAGTGACTCTATGGTTGCAAACAGCCTCTATCTCCAAAATGGAAGTTGTGCATCATCATCAGGTGCACCATTGAAGTCTGAGCAACCTGACTCTTAAATTAAATGTTGTGTATATTCTGCTTGTCTCCTTTCTTGAGTCCATACTAGCTGCTTTATGAGAAGAAGGGGTATTGTATGAGCGGGGTGAGATTGTAGAATGCCGCCACTGCCCCGTGTACTTTTGTGTTAGGTATTTAATGCAGAATGTAGGTCTCTAATTAGCTAATCAATAAAAGCTTCCTTTTCTAGTTCAACATGGTCTTTTTCTTTCTTTATTTAAGGAAATTTTTTAACTTTTAAAATGCTGAGAGATATGCTACATAGTACATACATTTCACCTGTTCATAACATGCCTCGTGAAAATTCTCTTTCGACGAACATTATACAAAGGTTGGTAGCAACACTTGACATTTTTATTGATTCAATAAATAAGTTAATTATCTCTCAAACAGGTCAATTTTCAAAGGGTGTTCATTTTTTTGGAGGCTAAATGTGTTGCTAGTTTTCATTGAATTGACGAGATTACTAAAATTTATGAAAATCAATAAAGAGAAGAATTCATTCCCCCCTTGACATGAGTGCAGCTGAAACCAAAAAAACTTTTAACAAATTCAGTGGGTTCAGTTATAGTGGCTATTTAAAAAAGGTCTTGTTCAGAGTTTTAATCATATATTATTATTATTATTGGAATTTAATTTTTAGAAGTATGTTATAACTTTTAAAATTAAAATTTTAGAAGTCGTTTGTAAATCACTTTTAAAATTTAATTTTTGAAAGTGACTTTAAACCTGCCCAGATGTGATTTTATACTTTTTAGTAATTAATTTTTGGAAGTTATTTATTATTTTGTAATTTAATTCATCTTTTATACCTTCTGAAAATTACGGTCAAGAATCATTTTTAGAATTTAATTTTTGAAAGTATTTTATACTTTCTATAAATTAAATTTTAAAAGTTATTTGCAAATCATGTCTGAAATTAATTTTTGAAAGTAATTTATAAATGTCTTTCAAAATTTAATTGAGAATGTATTAAACACTTGAAAGTTAAATTATGAAAGTTGTAATATAAACAGTAGGAATAACAATAAGTAAAGTACTCGATAGGTACTCGTAAATCTTATTCATAATGGGTAGGGTATTTATCCGCTATATGGATACGAGTATGAGTATAGGTAAAAACTTGCAAATTTAATAGAAATGAGGACAGGTATAGGTATCTAAGTACCTATTCTGTCCCATATTCGCATATTATATATATATATATGTTTAAATTTTATTCTACAATTATACATTGAATTTTTGTATTATTATATTATTTATGTGAAGTTATATAAGATTAATATAAAAATATATTTAATAATAAAGTAAACTAAAAAATTTATTTTAGTTTATATTTTTAATAGAAAAATTTATTTACTATTTTATATCATTTAATTAGGTTAATACAATTTAATTATTACATAGTTAATATGATATTGACTTTTTTAAAAACATTATTATATACGACACATAAAATATTTTTATTAATAAAATTATATTGATGTTTAAGTCATAAAGTGAATGATAAATAATAAATATATTGTAAATATTTTATAAATTTTAAAATCACCTACTATTACCGTAAACTTATTATTTATTAATAATATTTAAATTTTATTTTTTATATTTTAATTTAAAATAATATTTTTCTCTGCAACATATATATTACAAGTACAATTATAATATATTGAATATAAATAATATTACTCTTACTATTTATTCACATTCAAAAAAGTTTTTGAAAAAATATAAATATAAAAAATTATTGTTAATTTTTATTTGCTAATTTTTTTAGATAAAAAAGTATAATTTTTTTAATATACATGCATATTTCTTTATTATAAAAATTTATTGTGACCATTTATCTTTTTTTCAAATTCTTTCTTTTAAAATTTATTTAATTCATTAAAATAATTTTTCAAAAATTTGTATTTTTGATAAAATACTTTCGTATAGTATATGAGTTAAAAATACTAGTATATATATATATATATATATATATATATATAGATATATATATATATATTAATTATATCATATTATTTTAATTAAATATATTATTTTTCTTACAATTTCAAATTTAAAAGTTAAAAAAATATTTTATATATCTATTTTCTGTTGTTAGTATTGAACTTCTCTACTCTAACTTTATTCTCATTTTTTATGTCTGTTTCATTAAAACTTAACAACTATGAAATATTATTCGTTAGAGTTAGTTGTCAATGCTGTCAAAAGAGGTTACCAAGTGATTCCATATGAAGGGACAATCATTGTGCAGATCTATTTCATTGTCGCTCTGACATTGCCAATCGATCAAATCTCACACAAGATAGAGTTATCACTGACAAATAACTTATGTGTTTAGTTTCGCTTATTGTTTTTAAGAATTTTAGTTTAGAAAATTATTGTATTGAGATACATTTAACATTTATGATTTTTGAATATTTATTTTTTATCTATGTGTGTACCTTGTTCGACAACTACATATTGAATTTTTGTATTATTATGCTCTTTATGTGAAGTTATATAAACATATTTTTTTTTATAAATATTTTTTTCTCAAACAAATGTGGGTAATGAGTACAAGATGGGTATGCAAGTACCCAAAGAGTACGGAAACAGAGATTAATGTTCATACCCACGTAGATATAGAGTCGGGTACGAGTATTTTTTTAAAACATAGGTATGGAGATGGGTACTATAGTATCTTACCCATACTCTACCCATTATCATCTTTAATAAACAGTTGTGTAAATAGTAAAAGAAGTAGTGCAAAAATAATTTCAAATTACCTTAAAATTTTGTGACGGACGCATAAAATGACATTTTGAGACACTTAGGTCCACGTTGGGTCAGGTAACATGGAATTTATTTTTACACTCCCTCTCTTTTATTGAATTTTAATTGCTGAAGTGATTTATAGATTACTTTCATAAAATTAAATTTTTGAAATGTGTTAAACTCTTTCAAAAATTAATATGTGAAAGTTACTTATAAATTATTTTCAGAATTTAATTTTTAAAATAACAAAAAAATATCATAAAAAATGGGAATATAAAAAAAGAGAGCAGAAAAGAATGAGATAACTAACGTTTATACAATCTCACGGATTACGATACTTGTTGGCCATGCTACGGTGTCTCACAGGACGTGGAGAGTATGTTTCAGTTTCTTTTAATGAAAAATTATTTTATTTAAAAGTATTTTTAAAAGTCTAGTGTTTATTAAGCTTATAAAAACATCTGATAAATAATTTTTTTAAGTACTCTGACAGGCTAGTTTGAGTAGTCTTTTTTGGAAAAAAATAATAATTATAGTTTCTTTTTAAAATAAAATATACTTTATATAATTATAATAAAACAAATAGCTTTTACTTTAAATTTACAAATATAAATTACATTTCTATATAGGTCATAATATAGGTCGTAGCATGTTTTCACGACCTTCTAAAATCAAGTTTGAAGGTCTAAACATGACTTGAAATTCATGTTAACATGTTTGACAACTTTATAATAAAATAATATTGCTTTTAAATTCTCATTTGAGCTTTTAACTTAAATTTTTTATGCTAAATTTTAATACAAATTTACTTTTAATAGATTTTTTTAAAATGTAATTCACTTTGTTTTTAACTTACTTTAATTAAAATTGATTTTATAAAACTGAATTGACCCAAATTAATTTTATAAATCTCCAATGAAATAGAGACTAGATCCTTGGCAATAACTGGGACATGCAATTAATGCATTTTTGCATCTTGAGAAAAAATCTTCTATTTCGTTTAGTATTTGAAATTTATGAAATAGTTAAAAGAATTGATATCATATTATATTTTGGTGGAATTCCAACCTTCTACTCCTAATATTTTTGTCTCATGGGATGATCAAAGACCATTTTCTGCTGTTGATGAGATAATAATTTTTCTCTATGTTGCATGATAAACTATACAAAATAACTTAGCAACAGAAACGCACTCACTTTGAGAGAGATGGAAGCCACCTTATTGCAGTGTACTACTATAGATTTGGGTCCTTTGCGTCTGTTCTTCTTTACAGCAACGAGTGCTGAGTCAGTATTCTCCAGCATCACATGCAATGTCTTTCTTCTCTTCGCACTAGTGCCAATGTCTCATTTAGATGGTTCAGAGAGTGAAGTTGAAAGAAAGAGAGTATAGGGAATTTTTGCATTATTAATTTTTAAGTAATAAAATATTTAAAATAATTATAAAGTATAGATAACGCCCCGTAGGTATGCTATGGATGAATTTTAATAGATTTAAAAATTTAAGGATTATATCTTCGTAATTTTTTTTAAGAATTAATTTTAAAAAGTGCTATTTTTATGATGATGAAAAATATAATTAAATTTAAAATTTATTTTTTCTTAAATAAATATTATCAATTGTACACTTGGTACTCTTTCACCATTCAGGGCTTATGATTAATTTATCACATAGAATTAACAAGTAGTGAGAAAATATTACATACACACAAACTTTGCACAATTGAACCCAAAAAAGTCATTCCCCAACCACTAGAGGTGCCATAAGGCCTTCTTTTCTTTCCACAATTGCCAACACACCAATCCCAACCTTATCTTCAGGACATATCCAAGTAAGTCCCTTCCTTATGTTGTTTAAGCAAACTAAGAATATAAGAGCTACCATACTATGAAATATGTACCTTACCACACTTGCCATGAAAAGTGCTATGGTCAGATGGACAATAATGCCATCATCACATATGGTACCTTTACCACTACCATCTTCTTCCACTCATAATGTAAGCTTGTGTTGGGCCTCTAAAGATTTGAACTTGAGCACCCAAAGAAGTACAGGTCTTTGGTGTGCCGCAAGGAGGCAAATTAGGTACCAAGATGGTGATGAAGATAGAGATGAAGAGTATGGGCATAATGAGGAAGTTGCTGAGTTAGAGTTCTATAGTCAATCAGTAAAAGGAGAAGCACTCCTTGTTCATGCACTGGTGGACCAGGAAGAAGTAGATGTGCTTATCTTCAAGGTATGGATGACATATTATGCTAATAATAATTGCATTTAGTGTCTTGGTCCCCAACATGGTAATAATTGTTTGCTGAATTTCACTCTATAAAAAGATTTTTTCTTAGAGAAGATTTGTTGCAAAAATTTTCAGGGGTTCTCTTCATGCTTGAGCTACAGCACCTCCCCTGACCCAACAAGGAGCATTCTTCCAGCCAGGGCAGTGATAGTGTCCATAGATAGAATCAAAGGACCTTTTGACCCTGCCAATATAGAATATCTGCAGAAGGGTGTAACATGGGAAGAATTCAAGAAAAATGTTCTCTCTAATTAGAAAGCATGTAATTTTGTTCTTGAACTTTTTTCAAACAAGCTAGGGCCTGTTTATTTCAAAAAAAAATTCTATTTTCGCCTCTTTCTTTTGTAATTATGACATTTTATTTTATTTTTATTTTGTCTCTTCAATAAGAATTATTGTTTTATTTTAATACAAATATTTGAAGATAAAAAAGAAATAATTTGTATGATTAAAATTTTCAAAAATAACATGCTTAAATTTTCATCATCATTTGTAGTTCTATTTTTACACCGGTGACAGTGAATAAAGAGAAATCATTCAATAATGCTTAGGCTTCTAAATGTTTTTGGAACATTTTTATACTGGTACAGTCTTTTTTTCTTGAAATTTGGCAAATTACGTGGCTAGTAGAAGCAACCACATTTTAAAGTTTATTGTAACAATTATATTATAGAATAAGCAACAGTGTTATACTTGCTCCTATGATTTCTTTTTCTTTATGGCTATCATATATAGCCTTAAAGATTCTTCGGAACTAATAGAATTGGACCACCGAGCCTAAATGAAAAAGAAAAAGAAAAACTCAATGTCACCTAAAGAGTTCCCACTGAATTTGATTTCAATTTGAAAAAGTAATTGAAACACATGCATGCAAAGATTGGACCAGTGTTTAATTTACTTCTAGTTAGGTAATTTGTAAAATTACTCTTTCTCATCAAATGTTGTAAATTAGCTTTTTACTATTAGTGTACCTGTTTTAGAAAAATATAAAAACAAAAATTATTTTCTAATAATTATTCTTTTATTAAATATTTTTAAGGTTTAAAAAAGTTTCGTTCCAAACAAGATAATTTTTTCAAAAAGTTACTCGAACTGGATGTTTTATTACTTTATAAATTTTATCCATATGTTTTTTTCTTTATCTTTTGTATTTCAATATTTTAAATTTTTTATATATTATTATTTTTGAAGTTTTAAAAAATTATAAGAAATAAAAAATTTTAATCAACAATTTTTAATTATATATATAACCCAAAAAATTATATATTAATATAAAATCTATGGGACATTTTAGGAAATTTTTATATAATATTGAAAAATAATATATGCCAAAATATAATATTTTCTAAAGAATTATAGAAATTGAAAAAAAAACTAAATTTAAAACAAATATAAAAGTTTAGAAATTATTATTAATAATTTATATATATTAATTAATTTTATAAAATTTAATTTAATTTTTTAAAAATTTTATATTTCTATATATATTATTTTCAAATCTTATGTATTATATTACTATAATAAAAAAATTGTATATTTAATAAACATGAAAAGAGCACTCTAGCATGTGAAGAAACAATCTACTTTTACTAAATTCTGCGTCATGCGAGATTGGTTAGACATAAATTTAGATATATATATATATATATATATATATATATATATATATATATATATATATATCAGTTTTAATTAAATACTTAAAGATAGATACCAATTTTAATTTTAATTTTAAAAAAGATTTGTTTAGATATATTATATTTTAAAATTGAATTATCACTTGCTATTATATATTATTACGATTTACTATATATTTAAATGCATTCAAAGTTTTTCTTTGTTTATTTGTAGTGTTGTTTTTGTTTTTTCTCTCTTCAAATATTCCTTTGCTCCCAAACCTCTCAAATACTGATATTACCTCAAGATGCATTATTTGAGATATTCTCTTGGCTACCTGATAAATTCATTTCACACTTGGTCTTATAATGTAATTTATGAATGATAATTGAGATTTTTGAGTTATTCATTGAGTGAATTTATTATTCAGTCTATTTTGTTTATATTTCAGAAAAGAAAAGGATCAAGAAGTAAAAGCTTTAAAGGATAGTGGGAATTGAAGTAAAAATTAGAACCAGAAATATACACAGGCAAATATATGGCCGTGTATTTGAGTGTGTAACTCGTTGGTTGCATAAATCAAGCCAAAGATATACACGGGCAAGTACACGCCCTTGTATATGAGCGTGTATCTAATTAGTCGCGTCAATTGAAGTATATAATCAAAACCAGAGATGTATACGGCCAAAGTACATGGATGTGTACTTTTAACGTGCGTCAGAATTTAAACTTCTGCGAAAAGGTAAACCCGGGGACCACTCTTATAAAAGGCAACTTGGCATAGAAACCTAATGATGCTGTTTTTGGGAAAGAAAGAGTCAGTGACGGCTGGAGAAAAGAATCAAACTTTTTAATTTCTTTCTTTTGTAATTGTAGTTTCGACATGTTTAGGTTTTAATTTTCTTTTGAGTATCTAGACGTAATGAATCATATTTGACCAAACCTTCTAGAATTCTTCTTAATGTTATTTCATGTTATTTTCTCTTGAATTTAATTGAGTAGTATTAATTGTTTTCTATTTTATTTTCTTGTTTGATTTTAAGTAAAAATCCTGCATGAATTTATCATTACTCAATTAAAAGGACTTGAATGTATTTCTAGAGATAGAAAGACATAAGTTTTTTGTATTAGGAATAACCCTAATTATAGAATTCATAATGAACTTAATACAACTTAAGGGAATTAATTAATGAAGAGATCCCAATTAATCAATTGAAGGTTATGAACCATTATCCTTGAGAAATGTAGGGGTTTATTTCAGGAATTCCTACAGCAACAAGGGACTAAAACTAAGTAGTTGAAGGAGAATTCCAGTTATTTGGACATTTAGAAGGATTTTCAATCTAGATACTCATTTATTTCTCTTGAATACACTTAGTCATATTTTTTTAGGTTTTATTTTCATAGAAATCTGTTCATTTTAATTTGTTATTTTCTTAGTTCAGCAATTTTATCAACATAATCTCTTGCTCATATTCATTAACAATTGGGTAATTAAGGAAGTAATTCTTAGTAATAGTCCCTATAGATACGACACTTGATACTCTATTTTTTACAGTATTACTCTGATAATGGGTCCACTTGCCCAGTAATCAATTTTTACACACCACTACCAACAAAAGTTATTTACAAATTTATGTTTGTTGGAAAGCTGTTTACAACGTTTTCAAAAGAAACATATTTTGCATCGAAATAGACACAAAATGCTTTGTTAAGAGATGACACATATTTCTTCATTTGATATACTCAAAATCAAATTTACCATAGAAAAATTGAGTTACACCCTTTACGTGGAGAGGAATTATTATCTGGATATCTAATGATGTTCTTAATTTCTTGTCTAAGTCAACTAATATTCTATATTCAAACAATAGCTTGATTCTGTTTTATCATGGATCAAAACAAGTTATTCATTAGTAATCCTGTAACATAGTCTTGGTTTCCCATTCTAACCATTGATCACTTACAAGAGCTCCTTAATAGTGGTGGTTTTGAATGTGACTCAAATGACTAGATGATGTTTCTTTTTTATCGGGATGATTGGTTAAATTTGGATTGTATTGTTTACCTATCCAAGAAAGGTGTGTGGAAAGCAATGGAAGAAAGCTTTTACTATGGAGGAAGAAACTTGAGACTTGACATGTCTATACATCATAATGGAACCATTCATTTCATCTCATATTGTTTTCTTTACTTTACAAAGAGAGTCTTTATTTTAGGCCATATATTATATTACGTAATTTTGAGAATATGAGTTCAAGGATGATGAGGGTACCCAAAGAAGCAAGAAGGGGTTCTCATGACATTACCTGTGATATGAGAATTTTTAAATGGGGCAAAGTAATTGATTTATGCCAATTTATCTTTCTAGTGAGATTAAGAAAACATGTGTTCACCATATAGGTTTTGACAAATTACGAATCAAACAAATGGAAAAGGATCTTAAAAATAAGGGTAAAAGCAATGGAAATAACCGAAAAAGGATCCTATTATCATGGGTTTTGTTGTTCTCAATGGTGATCTTTTGGTTATTGCTACAACAAATAATGTGTATAACTATAATTTGACTAATGAAAAGTATATGACAATTGATAAAATTTGAGAATATAGATTTAAATCCTATGTTAGCATCACTTCTTACTCAAATACACTGCGCAAGTGTAGTATTAGAGGTGAAATTTTGTCGCTCCCTTCACATGCTTGTTTTAAAGAAAATGTAACATCTTGTAACTTATAATGATTATATTTATGCATCTTATTATATTTTAGATAAGTTTTTACAATTTATATTTAATATGAAAAATTTTACATTACTTCCAAAAATTGATAGATTTAGTTATATTTAATAGACAACATGATGAGAAATTAACTTATATAAATTTATATTTCAATCACTTATTTTTTTTTATTAGTTGTAAATTCATTATCATGATCTATAATACTAAAAAGCAAGTAACATTGATATTGGTTCAAATTTAATTTGTGAGCAGTTACTTAGAAGCTGTCCTGCTAACCTTACTCTACGAAGTCAAGTCAACAATTAATTTTTTTTTTCTTCATAAAAGTAAATTAAGGACTAAATTTTTTTAACGATTCAATAACTTTTTAGAAATTATATATTAATATTAATTACAATAATTTTTTTTGCACTACATGAATAATATTATATTAAAATATTTTAATAAACAATTAAGAAAATATATAATATAAACAAAATTATTTGATATGATGATAAAAAACTAATTTTTAAAATTATTTAAAAACACTTCAAAGACACTCCAGTTCAAAAATTAGTACATATTCATAATATATATATATATATATATATATATATATATATATATATATATAGAAGTTGATAAAAATAAATTTATGATTTTGTTCTCATCTAATTATATTGTATGAGTTTTTTTAGCATATATATATATATATATATAATTTAATTAATTTATAGTTTATTTAAAAATTTGAAATCTCTTTGACTTATTCTTGTTTACTGCAATTGAGTATATAAATCAATTGATATATAGTTGTTTTAAGTTAATTAGTAGTTTTGAGTTCAAGCATTATTGTTCAAGAATTAGCACATAAATTATACATAAAGGTTAATTTAGTAATTATAATTAAGAAATAAAATCATAGTAATAACCTATTTTAATAATTTATAAGATCTTAATCC